CAGGAAACCATCCTGACAAATCGTTTTCCATCGGCACTGGAGCACAAATGCCTAACTACCACATTCCATCGTGCCGGACAACTCGTCCGCGCCGCATATTCCGTTCCGCTCCTGTTGCCTAGGCATCCGGTCAACACAAACTATGCCGTCATTCTTAAGATATTTGAGATTAAACGTGATTTGTGATACCCAATCGATCAGATCGATCAACTGCTGAAGTCTTGATTGGGTGATGTGGACGAGTTGTCCGGCCACAGCAGAGATGTGGCAATTGCGGCCTGTGCGCTCGAATGCCAATGTGATAGCGCCATATGAGTGCCTCCCCCACAACCCCTTCCCTCCATGCAGAATTTTTTCCGGTGTCTTATCATGCCATTGATAAGGCGACCCCGCCCTGGAGTGTCACTCATCGTCTCTTTGATAGGACCTCCACCCAATCCACTATGTAAGTTCCCCATTCCTCCCCGTGGCATTCCTTTGAGCGCAAGCTTTCCTTCTTAAGAACTTGATATGATAATAGATAAAAGTCAAAACCATTTGACATTCTTGCGTTTTTTTATGGAATATCGCCACTAACCGAAAGAAAATAGACTCGCAATAAAAGCAGGAGCGAGATATTTGCCTATATTTGACGGCAGCCTTGGCAGTACTAATCGAATAACAAAGCATCCAGTGATTTCAAAGGCGAGTGCAAAGATGAAGTCTCGCTGAAAGTTGTTACTTTAGTTGTAGCCCTGACAAACAAACATAAACGTCAAGCTAATATCACCTGGTGAGTAATATGGCACATATTCTGACTATTAACGAACATTTCCATGTGTGCTTGTGAATATTGTAGTGAATGGAACCACAGTGACTTGGCGATATGCCACGCGATAGATCCGCCAACAATTTCGGCTAATAAAAACATTAGAAATCGAGATAATCTGAAAAGGAAAAGAAGAGGTTCGCCTCGTTAGACTGCCTAAGAATGATATTTTTCCTCCATAATGGAAGAATCGCTGAAATGTCTCAACTGGAGCAAGGCTTATTCAAGATCTAGTTAGCTGGCATCAAATGAGAGCACAATGGCTAGCTATCCATCGTTCCGATGAATGCATTGCGTCGCACGGCGGCTATACGCATATGTGAAATGAAGGTTTCGAATTTAAAGGCAGAGGTTACGATAATGTGTGTGCGCACCGGGAAGTATATGCGGCACGGGAAACGGTAGCCGGCGGCATTGGAAGCAAGGGTTCTGTTTTTGCCGCGAAATGTAGGCACCGGCGAAAATGTAGACGGACTACGAGCACTGCCAGATACAAATTTGAGACCGGCTCCAAGAGCAGAAGAAGAGAGTCAAGAAATGCGTATCACGCACTGATTACTTCGAAACGCAGGAAGGGTAGCATTTGTGGTTGATTTGGAGTAAGAGGGAGCGGTCGGTATTTTAGGGGGGAATTTGAGTAAATTTGTTTGGATAGAATTGGCAAGGCGAGCTTAGTTCGAGATAGCTGGTTTTGAGGGCATTTGTTTCGGTGGGCGTACGAGATAGGTAGGAGGAGAGAAATTTGCCGTTACATGTTTGATTTTTGTTTTTGGAAGGAAAGTGGGCGGAGTTGGGCTGTGTCGACTGGTCTAATCAAATACTATAGAAACAGTCATGATGGCGAGGGTGGTGGTCGGGGTAGGGAGAAGGTGGTCGTATTAGGGGAGCCTCCTGAGTCTCATGGTGGTGGGGGGGTCGCATCGAGACCCCCTAAAGGAGGGGGTCGCGAAATTTCTGAAAAAGTGCGAACGTCACGGTTGACCCTGCTCCAAAGTCGCCCGCTGATTAGCCAAAAGAACTGATATTGACTAAAAATTACCTCATTTCACCATAGTAGAGCAATTCAATAGGAGATAGTGGTGTACCATAACTACCTCGACCAGTTGAGCTAAAAATAAACCCGAGCACCGAGGTGACGATAAAAAACGACGACACACCGTAGTGTTGCACGATGACGGCTGAAAAAGGACCAAAAATGATAAGAAAATCAATTCGCTAGAGATTCCTGCTAAATAAATAAGCAAAATTATGCAACAGCGATTCATTTCCCCATAAAATCTCCAAAATGAGAATCTTAGAGCCAATCAGAATTTCCTTATATTGAAACAATTCCAAAATTTTGAAATCACATGGTTCTTTGGGGACGGTCTTGCTATACCAAATAAATACCATGTTCCCTCCTTGAGATGAGCTCAAGGGTGATGTCAGACTCTTGATCGAGCGATTCGCTAGCGTCTGCGGTCGCGTCGCGGCCAGTGAATCACTCATTGGCTGGTACCGCAACGCGACCGCGGACGCTAGCGAATCGCGCGATTCGCAAAGTCTGACATCGGCCAACAAAGCAACGACAGGAATATTTGACCAAATGCTGGCATGGCGGCATTCGATAGCTCGTTTTGGTACCCCTTCTGCCCTTTTCCTATTCAGGCTACCTTGTTGTGATGCACTATTTTTTACTGCTCATGAGTTCATATATTATTCTGTTTTGTTTCATGACTGTTGGATGATATGTGAATCGGGCAGGCACGCCGATTTTTGGGTTTACTTAACGCGAATAATATAATCCGGACTTTTAGTCCCTCCAGAGGTGGGTAAACCCCAGAGGGACTAAAAGTCCGGGGTAGGAAAACAATACTCTTTCCCTGATGTTCTTCCTGCTCGGAAATTCGTGTGCCCACCCGCCTTCCTCGATGTATTCGCGATGCAGAAGCGATCACAGCGTTGTTAGGATATGCTCAAAATACTCTTCGACCAGCAACCGAACCTGTACACCGTGGTTTTCGGGGGGGGGGGTGGGGGGGGGGTGGGCAATCTCACAGTCCTCCTGAATCCATTCGCGACCGCGCCGGTTTGCGCATTAGCAGGAGAGTCAGGAGATTTTTCTTCAATAAAATTTGAGTGGATGGAGATTCCCCGTGCCCAAGTCTGGCATAGATGAATGAGGGTATGAAGATTCTTTTCAGGAAAGAAAACTTTCCAAATTCCATTTGAAACACGGCAGTCCCGGTCGTATATAGATAGCAGATGAAGATCTTTGGTCAGCAACCCCGTGCTGCCATTGTCAGCGCCCCAATGGTTTATAGGAAAGCGATCACGCTGGCTTTCCCTTTCAAACACCTTAGTTTTCTTCAGCACCGATCCATCACTCTGTTGCACTGGGAAAAGCCGAAGCGGTAAGAGAACGTCGGCGATTAAATCTCAAGGAATTCTAAACGAGAGCTACTTACCGTTCTCGAAAACGCAAGTGCAAATTTGTGCTGTGCCAATCACTTCGATTAGAAACCGATGAAAGGATGATTTTTTCGCGATCGTTCTGTCAAGTATCCGTCGAGAAAGTTCAGCAGTACCGAGCACTGTTCCATAGTAGCACACAGCCGCCAGCAATGGCCCGGCCGCAGGCCAGGTCCGGCATTCTGCAAAATGTCTTCATTACACTGTGCATACAGAAACTTCCTCGGAATCCTAATTCGTGTTTCTTCATGGAGAGAAGCGGAAAAACCAGGGACCGAGAAAATAACACGGAGCTTATATACAAACTCCTACGACCAATTTGGTACGGTTCTTCTGCTGGAACAGACAGTGATGTACGAAGTGGTTTGAAGAAGAAAAGAGAAGGAATCCACAGGAAGTACAGAAAAGTAAGTAACTTCTACTGAGTATAAGAGGCAGACAGCGAAATAAAAGATATTGGGCTTTAAGGAGGGAGAAAATAGCTGGAGACGAGAGAGCATGGATACGAGCGAGAGCGGACAGGCTTATGACGTCACTTGCGGGTGGGACCCTGTACGATGGGTGGGTTCAGTGAGCATATTTACGCTCGAGTACTCGACCTGGCAATTTCGCGCATTAGTAGTCGAGACGGTACATTCTGCCTGCTCAAGGACGGCCCGACTTTTCCCGGTTGTAGTGTCACTCCAGTGACCCCAAGAATTTGCCTTCAGAAAAAGATGGTCCACATTTGGATCTTGTATCGGACGGGCACGAAATGTAGTAGGTGAGCAAAATTGAACGTATTGCGATCTTTGAGGAACGTGCGCAGTTTGCAGACAATTACGTCGATTTGCTACTAAGCGACTCTGCCACTCGCTATCTACGACTACGCTAGATTCGCAAGTCCCGACACCGCAGTTCAAGGCGGCCGTTTATACCTTTATTTTTTGAGATTTTTTGACCGAATTTCATTGGTGCAGTACGTCGGCTGAGAGCAGAGAAAACAGAAGCTTGCAAGCTTCTGGTCAAATCAATGCGTTCTACCTCTACCCGATGCGACCATGGATATTTTTGAGAAAACAAAGCAAAACCTTGGAAAAAACTGGCTCAAACGTGGATGGAAACTGACTACTAGAGCATTTTTGCATGCAATAAGTATCGCGAACTTGGGTAAGTAGAGTGTCCCACATAAAAGCACACGCAATAACCTCGAGAAGCCTTCTGTTGGCAGCTAACGGGCACAGTTGATGAAGTATCTAACTCTAATTCACTTCTTTTTTCACTTCACCTTTCACATGAGAACGACTTTTCCGCATCACCACGGATTTCCAAGAATCGCTGCTGTGTGCAGTATACTGCACATTTGAGAAGTATTGTGGACTCCGAGATAAACAGGTGAAGGGACCAAAAGATCGTTTACCATGCACCTCGACGGGCACAGAGGAGCACTGTCCAAGCCTGAGCAAGCCAAGTCATTTTTCCAGGTTTTGTTCGCCAAAGAATGATAAAGAAAACGCTCTGCCTTCAAACGCGAGCGTTCTGCAAGGACACTCGTGCAGCCCCGTGATAGGAAAATCAGGGGAAGCGTAGGAAACACATTGTATCAAGCCGGAAACATATGCAAAATTATACCTACATGACCTTCTAAAGCTAAATTACGTAACCAAAACAAAGGCCTATGTCTAAGAGGTGGGTTTCGCTTCAAATTCCCACTAGCGCACCGATGTATCGATGTGGTTGCTCACTGCAAGTATTGTAATTCAAAGGTCAGAAGGGAGCATGGCGCAATGTGGCTCCGGGTGGCCAGCCGGAAATTTGGCGTCAGATTCACGGATTTGCTCAGTTTTGGGAATAAGCTTTGGAGGAGAAGAGGGAATCCGAGCTGCGTAAGTAGGCTTAGTCCTGTGGCATTCCGACAGACTGCCCCCCCCCCCGGAGGCACATTGCGCCGAAAGCATTGATGAGACTCTCAACGGTGCCGCCTTTTCCAATGTTAGCGCTTCCTCTGCCAAGTGGCTAGCGACCTGCGGCGAGTGGTTAGCCAGTCCTTGGGCGTGCCGAGTCGATGGTGGCACGGAGACGACCATGCTAGATCGCCGAGGCGTTATCCCCCGCTGCGGAATGCTGTCAGTCCCACCCTTAGAAGTTTTCCTGCCCTCCACTAGGTAAGCTTCCCTTCTCTACCCTTGACCTTATCGTGAAATCCTCTTCTAAAGGAAGTGGAAACTGACAGTGAAGTACTATGTCAACTATTTTCGACATATCTTTGTAGCTCTAAAGGAAGTGTTGACGCTATTTGGTGACACATCGAAAATTAAATAGAAGTGGATCATTGAAGAGACAAGAACTGGAAACATTCAAAACCTGTGAAATGGGATCTCATTCTGGCATCAGCAGGAGGATGTTACGATAAATAGAATGCGGAAGTAAGGGACACATGCCTGCTACAAAGGATCGGTGGACTCTGAAGGAAGTGAGTAGAATATGCATCATGGCGAAGGGTGTGTTCATCGCCACCTAACTGACTCTAACCCTGGCGAGTGCCACTAGCCGTGGCGCGATTCGT